TCAGTGGTACCAGATGACAAAACAAGGAGTAATGGTCTCAAGTTGCAGTGGGGGAGGTTTAGGCTGGATATTAGGAAAAACTTTTACACTAGGAGGGTGGTGAAGCATTGGAATGGGTTACCTAGGGAGGTGGTGGAATCGCCTTCCTTAGAGGTTTTTAAGATCAGGCTTGACAAAGCCCTGGCTGGGATGATTTAGTTGGGGATTGGTCCTGCTTTGAGCAGGGGGTTGGACTAGATGACCTCCTGAGGTCCCTTCCAACCCTGATATTCTATGATGATATGTGATCATGTATTTAAAGATTGTATCATAATGCATAAGCACACAAGGGTATCTCCTTGTTCCCAAGAACCTGATAGGACAATGTTTAAGTAAAGAAACAGAGGTAAGATTGCCACCTACAGAATCACCAGCACTGCTACCTGTATCAGCATAGTTTTCTTTTGAGGATTCTGATTCAAACACTGACCAGGGCAGTCCCTGATTCGCCAATTCCAGTGTTGTCCTAGCTATGTTGGTCCTAGGATATTAGAGAGACAAGGTGTCTCTTTCACCAGCAGAAGTTGGACCAATAAAAGATATTATCTCACTCACCTCATCTCCCTGATTAGCTAGTGAGAGTCGATAGGATCACAGTCTAAGATAATACGGTTGCACGCATTGTCAGATAATACCACTAAACCACCTCAGAAATATTAAAGCTCTGTGTCAATATTTATTAGATTTAAGAGCAGATTTCAAATATGAGGAGAAAGAAAACACTCTCTTGACTATACCTAACAGTACAACCATGGAAAAGTGTGCAGAGTGCCTCAGCATATTCATAGCATCTACTGCCATGAAGCGTAACAGACAAAAACAGTTTGAATTTTCAGGGGTGAGTGAAGGAAGAACTATCTAAAATAATTTAACCCTGCTAACGTCATAATGGCTGCCCACAGAGCAACTGCTACCCTGACATCTTTTGGAATTGCTGTCACAAAGAGCAATCTTTAGAACTACAGATGGGCATAAGCTGTGAAAGTTTGCATCTGGCTCTGAACTTCCCAAAAGTTCAGGAGCATTCAGACTTGGGTTCTGTTTTCAGCCAGTTATATAGATAGGCTTGAGCCACAAAGAGAGATTCAGATTTCTGTCTCAGCTCAAACTTCCCAATAATTTAGGACAGGGGTCGGCAACCTATGGCACGTGTGCCAAAGACGGCACGCAAGCCGATTTTTAATGGCACGCTGCTGCCTGCTGGGGTCCCGCTCAGCCCGCTGCCAAACCCCGGCAGCGGGCTGAGCCAGACCCCGGTAGGCAGCAGTGTGCCATTAAAAATCCTGCCCGACCCAGCCCACTC